CCTGAGAGAGCAGTGATTGTCCCCTGGTTGGCGGCCCAAAGCTTTGGGTGTGCTTTTGGGAGTCTGTGCAGCCTGCTCAGAGGGTCTGCTGGGTAAAGGGCAGCCTTACTTACCTCCCAGGGTGTGTAAGGAGAGAGCAGACAAGCTCAGGAAGGTGGTATTTTTGGAGCTTGATGAAGAACATGCCCACACCCAGCAGTAGATAAAAGGCAGCGGCTGAAGGATTAATACGAATAGGGCAATTTACAGGTGCTGGAGTTTTCTGCAGTGTACACCCTGAGGTACAGCTCACACCTAGCTAACCAGGTTAGTAAGCATAGAGTATAAGTAAGTCTTAGCTGAAGGAGGTGCTAAACTAATATAACTCTCCTCAACCTGGCAGATTATAAGCTCAGGCTGCAGGTAGAAGTTCAGCTGCCAGGGAAGGCGAATCAAACCACCTGCAAAGCCAGCTGGCTGGTGCATGCCGTACTGAACGACTGAACAAAAGCAAAACTTTCTCATAATTCTGCATCTGTGCTCAAAGCCTAAAAATAAGGGGGAGTGTTGTCTCCTTGGCATGAGACAACAACCCTGGTATAATGGGCATCTCAGAGACCTGCTGGAAAGAGGATAATCAATGGGATCCCATGTTGCCAGGCTACCAGTTTTATGGTAATGATAGTGTAGGCTGTTCAGGTGGAGGAATGGCACTGTGCATGAAGGACTACACAGAATGTAACAGCATAAAAATATTATGTTCAGAGAGAAGCACAATGTATCCTACACTCTAATAACAAAAATATAGTACTAGGCTTGCACCACCATACTCCTTATCAAGATGATGACAGTGATCAGGAAACATTAAGTGAGATTAGAGAAGCTGAAAGCAGGCAGTAATAGCAGGAGATTTTAGATGCCTTCATACAGACACGATGCTGTGTTAGGAGGAGATGCAGAGAAAACACTTGCATGCAGCAAATGACAGATTCTTATGATAATTAGTCCTGCAACCCACAACACAGGATGCTATTCTGCATTTGGCATTTAGTGCTGCAGAGGACCCAGATCAAGCAGTTTTGAATGGAGGGTGCCTTGTAATAACAACCATGGGACAGCTAGGTTCAGCACTTCTCTGAGAGGGATGAGCAGTCCCAGAAGCAAGAAGCCTACAGAGTTTTGGGGGCTGTTTAAAAAAAACAGGCAGCAAATTCAACAGAACCTATGCCAGAAGCCCACATATAAGGTGTGACATCATTCCAAAAGAAATAAGTGTTTCACTAAATATTGAGCCCTACATGTATCAATAGCAAGGCTTTTATAGGGTAAAGCTCATCATTTGCCAATTGGGAGGTTTCTCCAATTGAGGAGAATAGGAGAATCCATACCATGGCAGCTCAAATATAGGGAGGAATTGCAGAGCATTAAAAAAATTTTTTGAAAGCGTCTGGTAAATGATGCTCAAGCTGAGAGTAGTAAGTTTTGTAAATACATCAAAGGGTGAAAGACAGCTAGGGAACTGGCAGGGTTGCTTGATGGCAAAGGATCTCTTAGGGATAACAAGGCCATAGTGGAGAAGCTCAGGGAATTCAGTTCTTGTCACTGAAGATGCTGGGGTATTTTCATGCCAGATACATTCTTTGTAGCAGCAAGCCAGCTCCACTTGATATATGTATACAGGAAGGAAATAGTAAACTGACTCGATAAGTTAGAGGCCAATAAATAATCAGGACCAGATGGCATTCATAGAAGTGTTCTGAAGGATCTCAAATGTGAAACCGCTGGCCAAGGCCCGTAACCCACCATTACAATCAGACACTGTGCCAAAGGACTTCGAGTGTTACCAGTGTAGCTCTTGTCTACAAGATAGGCTCGAGAGGGGAGCTCAAAAGCTGTGAGTTGGTTGTCTCGGTGCTGGGACCTACCAGCCACTGCTACTGCCTCCTACCCTGGTAAGATGTGGGGATGTCTAACAAAGAACATCTCTGAGCACGTCGAAACACTAGCCTGCTGAGAAAGAGCCAGTATGTCTCCTGAAAAAGGAAATCCCACCTCACGAAGCTGCTGAAGGGTGATAAGGATGATGGATGAAGGGGGCCCAGCAGCCATTTTATATAAATACGTATATGCACACACACACATACACATATATGTGTGTATATATATATGCATACAAATATATATATACATACATATATGTATATATCTATATATATGTATTTATATAGTTGAATTTTCTAAAAGCCTTTGATAAAGTTCTGCACCAAAAGTTTTCTAATGAACTAAGTTGCCAGAGATCTAGAAGACAGTTTCTTTTATGGACTGAAAGCTGGTTAAAGCGTAGGAAGAAAAAGTGTAGGGCTTAATGAATCAGCAGCGTGGTCTCTAGGGCTTTGTGCTTGGTCCAGGTTTGTTCAGTATCTTTATCAATGATCTGGAGAAGGGTGTGTGCAGAGAAATCTCCAGGCTGGCAGATGACCCTGAGCTTTTCAACACTATGCTGAAAAGGTGGCAGATGATCTTTAGTGTAGTTTCATGTAAGGTGATGCAGCTTCGGAAAAATAATCTAAACCATGCCTATGTGATACAGAACTTGAAACTAGCTGTTTCATTCAGGAAAGAGCATGTGTTTGGCATTGGTGATGGAGTCATTGTTGACAGGCTACTGAAGTCATTTCTGCCTTGACTGGAGCAACATTCGAAAAAGCCAACAAAATGAGGGGCATCATCAAGAAGGCTATGCAGAAAAAAGCAGGGTGCATCTTTGTATAAAACCTCCATGCATCCCTGCCGTGAACACCGTTTGCAGTTCTGGTCTCTGCACCCAAGAGGGACATAACGGAGTTAGAGGAGGGTCAAAGAGAGGTGAGTGAAATGATCAAGAGACAGAGCAGGGGCTAAGAGGCTGGGACCCTTCAGTGTGGCAGGACAAGGCTGAAGAAGAATGCGATCACGGCTTACAGACGTGTCGAAGTGTCAGATGGTGTGAATGCAAACTGTTGCTCATGGGTCCTGCAGCACTAGGGACACTCAACAGACTTGATGGGAGCCTGTTTTCAACCAGTGAGTACAGCTGGTATCAGCTGGTCCAAAACAGGGTTGGACAAATTCAAGGACAATAAATGGGAAATAAAGGACTAGGCAGAGATATACCCTCTAGCACCCCTAAACAACAGTTAGGGGTGCTGGGGGAATACAATGGCAATGCACTGCAGAAGGTGATCCAGCTCTCATGGTCTCTCTAAACAGCATTGCCTGTCACCACCATCAGAGACGGAATATTGGGCTAGACGGTGGTTGGTCTGAGCCACCAGCTCATTTCTTACAGTTGTACTCTGCTCCCAATTTATGCAACACCACCAACTCAGTTGATCAACTCAACAAAAGTTGGTCAACTCAACTCAACAAATCAACTCAATTGATTTCTCTGTGTTGCTCCTACTTTCTGCTTGTGAAGTGAAACCAGTACCAACAGTGATCCTAAAAACCCTGTATGACTCTGTAGGTCAAAAAATTATTACTGGGAAAACCGTAACAGTCAGTAGCCCTGGGCTTTCCCAGTTCTGGTAGAGGGCTAAATCAAGAACAGCCAAGTCAGCCCGTAACTCAGCCGACAGCGGGAAAGATTTCTGCGCCAGGCTGGAACAGGAGGAATCCCTCCCTTTGGGGAGGTTTGTTGGAGGGGTGCTGCTGCTAAAGGTGTGAGGATGAAATTCTTCATGTCCAGACTGCTGGAAACTTCCAAGTGAAGGTTCTGATATCTGCCCTTCTGAAACGTCGCGCTCACCAGGAAGCGAGGAACTACCGAAGAACCTAATTTAAATACGGTGTTGCACATATGCAAAGTCAAATAGAGAAATCTATTCATGCAAAATATGGTTCTGTGTTTAGTGATAAAGATACAGATAACGATAATATCTTTATACAGATAAGATACAGATAAGACAATATCTTTAGTGATAAAGATAAAGATAAACTTCTGGGTAGCAAGAAAAAGAGATGCTCTGCACGTCTATCACAATATGCCTTTGTCTGAGGAATACTTCAGACACCAGAGTCCCGTGTTTGTTATCTGAAGAGGAAGGTTGTTATGATATCTTTGCTACATGGGAGCATTCATGTCAGATTACTTGCATTTGTTGCCGCACTATGAGAAAAAAAGAGAAGCTCTAATTTTTTTTAAAGTTCCCATTTGCTTTCTTTCTAGCACACATTTTATGTTTCAGGAGCAGCATTACCAAAAATAAATATAACAAAATGTGATGTCTGAAATTAACACTAAATTCAATTCACTGAAACGTATGGCGTTTTATTAACTTTTCTACATGGATGATGATAAAAAAAAAATCGAGATCTTGACCTTTAACACTTTTTTGTTTTAAAAGTTTGCCATGAACAAAGTTTGTCATATTGGTCTAGCTAAAAAAACAGGACTCACTCAGATCCACCACTTGATTGCTATCTTCTGTCTGGTAAAACTCCTACTTACATCAAGTCACACTTTTTTCTTCCAAATAAAATTTTCAAGCCTGGCTTTAGCATAAAGAACGTTAGTCAGTGATTATAGTTGCTAGCAAAAACAAAGCTTACAGCAAGTAACAAGAAACGCAAGTAAGTTGCATTTTAATTATTACAACCATTTTTTATCTACATCAGAAAAAGAAAAAGCAGACAAATCTTGTCCTACCTCAGCTTTTCTGCCTTCTGGTGTCTTCGGTATTTCCTTCTTCTGCTTTTTGTTGTTCACAACTTGCAGCTTTGTTAGTGCAAAGGAAAAACACAGAAACTTGAATCAAAAAAACACGAGTGCTATTTATGCAGAAGCCACAGAGGGGTGATGAGCAGTAGGAAGGGGAAGTAAATCCTTATTAACAGATCTTATATTTTCTTAAGTGAGAAATGTTTTCAGCTCAAGGAGTGGTACTAGTAATCACATGGCAATCTTTTATACTTTTCATCCAATGAAAGAGGCCCTGCAGCTAAGCAGTGATCTTGGACGCCTTTTGGATTTCTATATTTGGGCTCTCACTTCTGTTTATTTGCTTCCGATACTCACAGTTGATGGATGTTTTTGGAAATCATGCTATAAAGCTTAACACGGATCATTAGAGACGTAGTTCTTGGAATTATTAAGACGACACATGCCAGCGGTTATTAGTCAGGCTTTTTACTGCAGAAAGCACATCAAAAACATCATCATAAGCAGGCAGCCAGGAGCTGATGGGTAATGTGACTCAGCCCACACTTCCAGGGTGAATTTACAGAACCGAAGGACTAGTTTTCCTTGAATTTTCATAGGACCTGAATACACAGTACTGTTAGGTCATGGACACGTGTCTGCAGCAAATGCCTTACCGCCCCTTAACATTTTACCACTCATCAGTGGATCGGCGTTAAATGGGTGCTCCTAGCCCACTGCAATTGAGCAGTAGGTATCTGTGCGCGCTGTAGGTGTAACAGGTTGGTTATTCCTCCTCTGTGGTGTCAGTGCACACCGGCAGATCAGATGTATTCAAGTGTCTCTCAGCTGCTATGTTTTATTTCCTAGCTGCCGCAGGCTAGGCATCCACGCAGGGTCGTTACCATTGCTCGGTGAATGGAGAGTCTCCTCCTAAAACCTTCTGAGCACCTACATTTGTAGTCGTCTATGCTCCCAAGCTCTCCTGGTAATCCCGCTTGCAGCCTACCCTACATTGCCACCTGTGTCTGATTCTCATTTATAGCAAGATCCCTTCTCTCTAGCTGTATAAAGGGCCTTTAGACCAGGTAAAAATTGCCCTCTGGGCGTGCTCCACATGGCAGGGGGGCTGAGTGGGTGATGTGCAGTGTCTGCAAAGACCTGTGTCATCAGACTTCACAAATCTCTGCATAGAGGGGGGCTTGCAAACACAGCTCAGCATTTTTTACTTCATGAAGCTGAAAAAGGACATAGGGAATCATGTGCAGGACTGCTCCAGCTTAGCTAAGGGTGAGGCGAGGACCTTCAGTCTCTGGAGCAAGCTGTGAACATTTGCCCACGTTTGCCTTGACAGTGCAAAGTCCGTTTAAAATGCTAGCAATCCCTTTTAAATGAATTTGCGAGGTGCAGAGTGACAGTGAATTAGGGGTCCTCTTGAGACCGCTCCACGGGTGCCTAGCACAGACATTGCAAACTCATGCGGCATGTAAGGCCGTAGGTTTGTGTCCCTTCCCAGTTGTGGTGATGCTGGCTGGTATGGTTACTCTCACAGCTGTCTCCCCATCTGTCAAGCGTTGCTGGCAGAGCCGCACAAGTGCATGTCCCCGGCCACGCTTTGGTCAGTGAAGCAGGGTACCTTAGATACCTGAAATAGGGGGTCTTCGCTAACGTAGCTCATTTGAACTGCAGCAGGATAGGAAATGACCCCACAAGCTGCTTGGCAGGCAGATTTTGGGGCAGAGACCTTTAGGAAGAAGCTGTGACGTGCAGCACGGCCCCGGCCAGAGGAGAACTGTGCCCACTGGAGCCATTTGGAAGACGCCCCAGTAATTCAGACTGCCTTTTATCTGCAACAGGCAGAGATGCTGTGATGACTAATGTTGGCATTGCAATAGCAGCCTGATGACATCTGCATCACATGGCACGCTGCGATAATCGCACTGGGACTGATAAGCAGGTTGTTCACAGACACCAAAACATGTGGAAGAGTTAGGCATTGATCACATTTTGTTTTCCTGAATGCGTTTTGAGAATGCCTCTTTCATCACGTGACACGCTTGCCCGGATAATTTGTTACATCCACCTTCTTAAAAGGCCTGCTTTCTGGAGAGTACTATTTCTTCTCCTTACCAAAGTAATGCTGTATTTCCTTTCCAGATTGTTTCAATAAATGGGGTCAGATGCCAACTCACCCTGCACCTGATAAGCTGGAGCTGGAGTGACTGTCTGGGATTTTTTAGAAACTGTCGTTGAATGACTCAGCTTCCGAGAGGAGTTTAGCACGTTTTTTGTTCATACAAACTGCAGTAATTCTGCAGAAGCCATCTCAATATCATGAAGAATAAAGGATTCTCATCGCAAGACACTGTGCACAAAACACATTCAACAGTTACCAGCCTAGATTTTCTCTGCATTTTAAGTCCCATTAAATGCAGAGATGGTCCAAGATGCAGAAGCAGTGGAGCTGAGAGTGCAAACCACTAGGCTAAGCTGCAGTTGTGCTCACTCCTGCCTCTGTTTCTGTTCCCTTTTGCACTTCTGGCTCCATGGCAGCCCAGCTGCAAGAGAGAAAAGCAAGAGGGGGTGACTCATCCTTTCCTTTGCCCTCCTTTGCTTGCCCACCTCTGCCCCGGCACAGTGCCGGGGCGCTGCCCAAGGACGAGGGCTCAGCTCCCGCCAGCCCGCAAGCAAAGCCACCGTTGCAGGCTTTGAATCCCCGTCGCGTGAAGCAGCTGAACTTTGGACCTGAGCGAAGCATTCCAGGCCAAGAAAAGGCACAAATCTGAATTATTTCTATCAGCAAGTTCAAGCGTCCCTGTGGCCTGAGCGCTCCCCGATGGGAGCGCCAGCAGAGGAGCCCATCTCCTGCGCTCACTGTGGGGGGCACCTAGCTCGGCAGCATGGACATCCCAAACTTTGAGGCATCGTGGTGCTGCACATCACGCTGCTACGTGCCCTGTAGGGCCAGGCCTCCCCCTGTAGCTGTACTGATGTTGAGGTGATTGGGGAATTAATTCTCCAAAGGGGCAGTTTAGGCATTTTTTACCCCAAAGTGGTTTTCCCCTCCCAGGCACCTCTGCAGGCCACATCCTATCAGACCTGCTGCTGGGCTTCCTCCTGCCATAAGGCTGTTTCAAACGTCTCCGTGCAGTGACTTTCTGGCCCCCATAGAGCTGCTGTTGCTGCTCTGGGCAGCAGCAGAGCAGGTATCTCATTGCCAAAGCAGTGCCTGGGGCCCATGGGATGATTTGCCAATTCACTCTTCTCACTGGCTAGAGAGAAACGCCAGGTTTTGCCCCCTAAAGTGAAGGCAGCTGCTGTTTGAGGACAAGCACGTTGCCTGGTGCATCCATCCGTGGTTGCAGTCACGCGGGGCAGGCTGTCCTCCGCTTCACACTGCAACACAGGAAGCAGGGAGCTGCCTTTTTTGGCCATGGGGATCTGAAACCCGCCTGGGCAAGGCTGGGTGTCTGACGCACAGGCCCATCCAAACAGACCTGTAAAAGCACATCGCGCTGCTCGCAGGGCGTAGCAGGCAGTCGCACGCCAGCTCGTTCAGTCGGGCAGCCCCGCTGCCGCCCGGAGCAAACCTCGGGGCCGTGCACGGGAAACCTGGCAATCCCCAGCACCAAGGGATCTCCTGTGAGGCATCCAGTGACTCACACAATGCAGAAGAAGGAGTCCATATATTTTTCCAGTTGCTCAGGCAATGTTTTGCTGTCTGCAGGCGTGAACGTCTAGTGTCGGAGTTTCACCTTCACATGCCAATAGATTTTTTGGCAGAAAGGGATATATCAAACAAACAGAAAGGATTACCTTCACTGAAGATTTTAATGCCTCACGTCTTCAACACAGCAGCTTAGCCTAGTAACACATATCTATTTCCAGAGACTAAAATTACAAAGCTTACATTCATTTTCTGTGCAGTCGAGAAAAAAAAATAGCATCAAATGTTAGTAGCTCATTTGCTGTCAGCCATAAGGCTGGATAGCTGGGAAGATCAAGGTGACTACTGCACGAGGAAGGGGTAAAGAAGGAGGGGTAATCTTAACAGGCATTATTCGAAAAGGAAAAGCACAGAAGGTTTTCAAGCTGTTCCTTTTGCAACATCAATAATGACATCTTTTTTAATTGCTTGTAGTCTTTTCTTAACAGTTTGCTGTTCCTCATTAATATACTAATGAAGGCAGAAGAATGTTAGCATATATCTGGAATGGAAAAAGACATCTAGTATTGTCTACATGTAAAATAAACTGCCTTTTTAAAAGTATAAAGTACTAAAACTGGAGAAGTTCTTTCACTGCCCCTCTAAAGGTGGTGTGTGCCTTGGGAAAAATTGATTGTCTTCAAAAGCCGTGGAGCCGATGGCAGCTGGCAGCATTAATGCACTTCCTAGAGTTTAATCGATCCAGTCCTCAACTGTGAAAAGAGTGAACTCGAGCAGGACAGAAAGCCAAACACTTTCTAAGGCCTTCATCTAAAGCCCATTGAAGTTATTGGAAAGAATAGAGCCTTTTTTTGGATTAAAACCTAAAGAAAACAGCCCCAGAAACTGTGACTGGAAAAAAAAGAACAGTGGTGTTTTTTTTTTTTAGGAACTAGCCAAAAGCATTTCAGTTTTAACACATGCAAGGTTGTCAGTGTGCCAGGAATATTTACTAATATTCTGTCTTCTCTGCATAGCCTGTCTTTCGAAACCTCTCTACTTCTCTATCCATCTCTCTATCCAGCACCATGTGGGTGTCACAGGGACCTTTTGCTTGTGTTATGCATTTCAACTAATTGCACAAACTGCAATTGCAACCTCTGTTATTTCTGTTTTCCATTTTATGTGTTAGACATGACAGAGTCGCACATTGATGGGAGTATGCAAGTGCAGAATGTGAAGGATTTGGCAGTGATTTAGTTACCCCTCTCTTAAGATATGACCACCTGTAGACTTATCACACATACATGTTGGCATGTGTATGGCATTTTACTGTAAGTTACCTACCCCCAAACCCGTCTTTTGATCTGTGTTTACCCCACTTTAAATGTTCTGCATGTCCCGTGCTATTCTGCTGGTCTCTCTCTTTATACACATCTAGAAACCAGAAGCAAAGCAAGCTTCCTCTCTTCCCTTTTTGCTGACTCTTCTATAATAGCCGTAACCCAACAGCTGGATAAAAACCACCAACAAT